CACTCATCCGGCTTGAGCAGAGTTGTGGTTACTTACTGGTAGAAACTTTCCATCAGGAGAGTCCCCGCGGAAGCCAGCTGTGGACAGCAGATGAGAGGGGCAGGGCTGGCCCTAACACCCGCGACAGGGCCAGGGTCAGGGGGCGTCAGCTCATGTGTGTTTATGCAGAGTCAAAAATGGATCCAGTCAGGGACTTGCTGAACACGTGCCTATGTTTTCCAACTTGTTGCTCTGTGTTTGGAGACTCAACGGCACTACCAGTGTTGATTATTACTGTGATTGTATTCCATTGGCATTGTACTATTCTGACCTTTTAGTCTTAGAAAAGCCAAGGAGAGGTAAATCAAAGTAAATTCTAGGGATTATTTTACTCTAAAGGACTTTTGGAAAGACAGAAAGTAGATTAGTGGTTGCCTAGAGCTGGAGGGAGAGAAGGAGGGGCGTTTTCTTTTTAGAGTGATGAAAATGTTCTAAAATTGGATTGTGGTGATGTTTACATAACGTGGCGAGTATACTAAGAGTTACTGAACTGTACAACTTCAAATGGGTGACATTTGTGGTATGTGAATTCTTTCTGAATAAAGCTGTTTAAAAGACTTTAGATGGCAAGAGATCAAACAGAACTGCACTGCTAAGAACCAGTTCAAGATTACTTGCGCCAAACTTCAGCAAATCCAGGATTTTCATTTCCAGTCACCCAGAACCAACTCCGTTAGGAGCCCCACTCTCGCTTGGGAATGTCGCTTTGCTTCAGTCACCTCATCCTGTAAAGGGATCAGTAGCACTCGGGACCGCCCTTGGCCGCACGCTCTCCCTGCATTCTGATGTGCAGTGCCAGGCCCTGGCCTGCTTTTCTGCGCTAAGCTGGATGTTTATTGGAGGTGATAGGAAGAAGTGGGGCTGGAGATCAGTGAGCAATTATTCATGCCTCACAATGTGTCTTTTGTGAATCAGCGGAATGATCAAAAGTTAAGCTGCTTCAGACTGAGGATGAGCTTTCTGGGCGCTGATCATTTCTCATCATCTTTGGACAAACTGAATTTATGACTTGGCTATGAGTGGGGTGTTCTTTCCTTCCTTTTCATTATTGGTTTACTCTAGCAAATAAATAGTAATTTAGTGATTACAAAACAATGTTACAGATGGTGTATGTATGAAAAATAACAGTTGCAGGTATGTTATCTGAGTTCACTCCCCTATTAAAAATAGGTTTAAAATGTGATGGTACCACGTAATCTTTAAGATTGGAGAACAGGCGCAATCCGATTGCTGTCTTGCTAGCAAAATGCCAGTTGATAAACATGTTTATTCAGTCTCACTAGTTACATTCCTATTAACTTACCTCAAAGCAGCAATTACAGTAGCCCACAAGCATGCAGGATGTCTTAAATGGTCAACATCTAGGACAGGACCTAAATAATCTAACTATAATTAGATAATAGGATCTTACACCTAAAAATCACATTTTTGAAAGCCTCAGAAAAAGATTGTACAGATAAATGCTTAGTGGAAAAAAGTTTTTAGTGTGTGCAAGATTATATAAAACTGTAAACAGACATACTGTACAGAAAGTAGCTGTAGTGCTTTTGCTTGGTAGTGACTTTGTGTGTGTGTGTGTGTGTGTGTGTGTGTGTGTGTGTGTGTGTAGACAGTCTCACTATGCAGTCTAGGATGGCCTCAAGCTTACAGTCTTCCTGTCTCAGCCTCCCGAGTGTGGGCACCACCCTACCCAGCTATTTCTGTTTTCTCACAGGAGAGTTATTATTCATAGTGATTCTGGTTCAAGGGATTCCTTCACCTAGAATTCTCTCTTCTCTCACTTTTAGCATTACCTGTGCTGAAAGACGTTTGACCTGAGTACTGTATACTGGATGAGGCAAGTGCCGTTGGCAGAACTTTTCATCCTTGGAGTAGAGAATTACTGCCTTGCTAGGATATTTTTTTCACCTTTTGAATTGTGACATTGGAGCAAGGGAGCATTAGGAATAAGGCCTCAGCAAGTAACAGAATTACCAAGAATTTCAAAACTATGACTTCAGGGCTGGCCAAATAGTTCAGCAGATTAAAGTGCCTGCTTAGGCAGACAAAGGGGCCAGGAGTTCGATCCCTGGGCCTGCAGTGCAGGCCCTGCCGTCAGGGTGTACTGAGATGGCAATTGAGACTGGGCATGGTGGCATGCACCTGTAATCCCAGCTCTTGAGAGGCTGTAAACAGGCGGATCACTACAAGTCCGATCTATGCAGTGAGACCCTGAACACCCTGTAGACCCTTCCCTAAAAATACAAAAAAAAAAAAAAAAAGTGACTTCAGTTTTCCTTCACACAGCTAATGTACAGTTCGGTGGTGGTTAGCACCGGGGTGTGTGCTGCTCAGAACGTCAGAATGCGTGTGCTTCCTCTATGGTTCCTTTCCTGTCTCCAAGATGCCCCTTCTGCTCTATGAATCACATCCACCCTCGGGGACAGGAAGAAAGGGTGGGGCGGGGTCACGCCAGCCTGGATGCAAGTGTTCCAACCTCACCAGGGGCTATGCCAAAATGGTCACTCGCTCCTCACAGCCCGGGCTCTCTGCTGGGGAGCTCAGGAGAGGAGACTGTGAGCTCCCCATATACACAGGCTCTGCATCTGTGGCTTCAGCAACTGCTGACTGAATTTTTTCTAAAAAAAAAAAAAATGTGTCTTTACTGAACATGTAAAGGCTTTGTTTTCTGGCCATTCTCTGCAAAATAATAACAATACAGACTGTTTACATAGCATTTACATAGTGTTAGGCATTATAAGTAACCTAGAGGTGATTCAGATTATACAGGAGGGTGTGTGCAGGTTATATGGGACTATACCATTTCATATTAGGGAACGAAGCATCCTTAGATTTTAGTACCTGTGCGGTTTCCTGGAACCAGGCTCTCCCTATCCAAATGATGCCTGCCTTTGGCTTTTGAGCCACACAGAGGAAGAAGCTAATTGGCAGGCCCTGTTGGTAGCCACTAAGCCACTGTGAGTAGGATGTGTCCTCATGGTGGTTGGTACAGCACTTATGCGTCAGTTCACTCTTTTTTTTTTAAATTTTATTTATTTATGTGTGTGTGTGTGTGTGTGTGTGTGTGTGTGTGTGTGTACATGGCCAGCTCAGCCCACCAGGGGCGGGGCTGGCTGGCATGTGGTGCTGGGGGATTGAACCGCGGTCCCTGTGCTTCGCTAAGCTTGTTCTAAGTAGGTGCTTTAGACCACTGAGCCATCTCACCAGCCCCATTTCACTCTTAAGTTTATGGAGACACGTGGAATTTTGTCTGCTATGAAGTGCTCTTTTTTATTTGGACTCTGTCAAATTCTGCCTTTGATGAAGGCTCACTAGATCTACTGTCGATATCTGAACTGAAGAAAATAATTAAGAGGAGCTTTCTAAACTTACGAAGACGCTGTGCCTTGACCTTCACGTGCGAACAAGGAGGATCACGGAGTTAAGGCCAAGCAGCTGCGGCTTCTGCACAGCTCCTCTTCTGCTGCACACTTCTCTGTGCCCTCCGATGATGACTGTCATACAAATCATCTCTTTGGAATTATCTTTCCTGTCCCTTCCCTCCCAGAAAAAGAAACCAGATTAATGAATGAGTGAAAAACAAAAGTATTTAGTTTCCTAAGGAGCAAGCAAGCAGCAAGCCAGACTTCAGTTTGATTTCAAAAGCTGCAGTCTGAGGCTGCCTTAATCCCATGGCCAGGAGAACACTAGGGTTTCTCCTACCTACTGTTGTGCTCAAGTACCGTAATCTGATAATTAAATTGCCTCACTCTGTTGCTCTGGCCTTTTATGTGTGCAATACTCATAAAGACTTTAGATGTAAAACTGTGTGCCCTTCAAAATGTCAAACAAAAGGAATTTCTCAGTGGATCTTGCCAAGACTCTTAAGTTACTTTCCTTGAGTTTAAGAATGGATTATAATTATTTTTTCCTTAAAATTATCTTTTCCCGCCAATCAGTAGCAGAATTCTGAAGTTGCTACCCAGCTGTATCTGCTGGGCAATAGTGTATGTTTATAGGACGAGTGCCGTCTTTTTGAAGCAGTGTGCTTGTCCAATGGACATTGCCTTCCAGGAAAATCATGTAATTCTGCAGCTGCCCAGGCCTAGACAGCAGTGGTAAAGTGGTAAAATATATTTTATGTTAAAACTAGTAAAACCAGCTATCTGGAGTGGCATGTGCCTATAATCCCAGTACTTGAGAGGCTGAGGTAGAAGAATCATTGCAGGTTTGAGGCCAGTCTGTGCTACATGGTGAGTTCAAGGCTAGCCTGAACTATACAGTGAGACCCTGGCTCAAAAAAAAAAAGAAAAAAAGTGTAACCCAGGGAGATAGCTCAGTGGCAGAAGCGCCTGCCTGGCAGGCACAAGTTCCTGAGTTCCATCCCCTACTCCAGGAAAAAAAAAAAAAAAAGTAAACAACACATTATCAATTTGAAATTTTTATTTTTAATTTTGAGAATTTCAGTTTCTTTACTGCAAAAATGGAAAAGTTGAAGTGTGTTAGCTAGTCAGCTACGCATTACCACAGAGGCTATTACCAATGTCTACCATCAGCACAGAAGAACTGTCAGGATCTGCGCCCACTCTGACCATCTACACAGGTTTCTGTTCGTCATCTTCTTTCTTTCCTCACACAACTGCGAGCAAAGGGTCTTTTTTTCTTTCTTTCTTTCTTCTTTCTTTCTTTCTTTCTTTCTTTCTTTCTTTCTTTCTTTCTTTCTTTGGTACAGGGTCTCACTATGTAGCTTGGAGTCATAATGAGCCTGTCTCAGCCTCCCTAGCGCTGGAATTACAGGCGTGCACCACCACACCCAGTTCCAGTTGTTGTCACCGCCACATCCAGGGCCAGCACAGCGTGCGGTACTGGGGATGGAACCCAGTGGTCCTTGCGCTTGCCAGGCAGGCACTTAGACCACCAAGCAATCTTCCCAGCCTGGGACATAAGTTCTTAAAAGAAACTTTCTGTGGTTGTATTTTCAGAGTTCCAAGCTGAAAGGTTATCAGAAGAAAGACGTGAGACTCGGAGGCCTGGGACCCGACCTGGAGTCTGTCAGAAGCAAAGTGAGTAAGGTGTGCATAGACGGTGCTTTCACATTTGGCCTGGCCTGTCGGCCCTCCAGCAGAACTGCAGAGATGCCCTCCCAAGCCAGGCCCAACACAAATGCTGCATGCTGAATAGACCCTTGAGAGTAGCGTTGGCAATAGAACAGAGGCCCAGCCACTCTTCTTACTGCAAAATAAAATGTCAGCCAGTGTTGTTCTAGGCACCACACTTGAAGCAGCTTTGAAGGCCTGCATGGAAAAGTGGGGCACATGCATGTGAAAAGGGATGTGTGTGTTATGTGGTCATTGGCCTTTCCTGACAGAGTAGTCTTGATAATTTTGAAGAGTGGCTGCAGAAAAGACACTTAGATTCGAGTTCCCCAGCCCCTGAGAAGTGCATCCACTTTATTCTCTTTTCTCCTGTGAAAGGAGATCTTCATTTAATGTGTTTTAACTGCAGTTGCACTCAGGCAGAGAAAGACAGTATAGCTTCAAGTTGGAAGCAAAAATGAAAATAAATTGGGTAAATGCAACAAAGAAGGAGCTGACGTGCTTTGCCATTGTTTCGGAGCCCTGGGTGTGCTACTGCAGTGAGATTCTGCATCCCAGAGAGGCTCCGGGGAAAGCGCTCCCTTCCCCAGTTCCCTGCCGTGACCTTGTACATGGCGATCCACCTCTGTGCTGCCAGCGCAGCGCCTGAGCCCCTACAACTAGTGTCCCCTTAAGTAGAGCACAGAGAGCAAGCAGAGCCTGTGATTCATTATAACCTTGTTTCTCTGGGCAGATGCAAAAATTAAAACAGCAAAAGGAGTACGCAAAACAAGTTAAAGAGTACAACATGAAGACGTTCTCTGTTCCCCCCAAACCACAAAAAACAAAAACTGAAAATAAACCAGTCATTCCTCGGCAGAAGGTAAGAATTTCAAATCAAGGTACTTTTAGGGGAGGGTTTTTTGTTTGTTTGTTTGTTTGTTTATTTGTTTGTTTTAAGCAGAGGTTTATTTTTTGTTTTTGGTGCTGAGGACTGAACCCAGGGCTTCCAGCTTGCTAGACAAGCATTCTACTGCTGAGCCAAATCCCCAGCTCCAAGGTACTTTTAAAATCAGAATTAAAAGGAAATATTTGTTCCTGCTTAATTTTAAAAATATTTCGCACATGTCTGGAACACAGGAAATATTCTAGTAACTGTCACTCCTGCAGCTACCTGTTGGCCACAGATATTTGTGTAGCTGCAGCAAACATACACAGTAGTATAAAATTAGACTTTTTATTTTCCTGAAGTTCGTTATTTCCACATGATTTCTTCCAAGTGCACTATTCTAAATGTGTCACACATGAAAGGAGAGAGAGGAAGATGACTTCTTCGAAGAAAATAGCAAACCTGATTGACTGTCAGTTCATTCTCAATCATGAACTAGGTTTCAGTGAGATTAATGTCTTGCTCTTTAATGTCAAAGAAGAGCCCTTCATTGTTTCTTGCCAGTTCATTCCTCTGTAGTTTTCCATAGAGATTATAATATATGTTTTCTTCTTGCCAAGAAAAGTGGTTTCAAGATATTCAAAACAGAGACTGAGCGTGGTGACACATGCCTGTAATCCCAGTGCTTAGAAGGCTGAAAGCAGGAGGATCACTGCTAGTCTGATCTGTGTAGTGAGACCCTGTAGAGTCTGTACTAAATACATTAAAAAAAATACAGAATGTTCTTCTACTCAGATGTCATCCAGCCAAGGGTTACGACCTAAATGAAGTCTGTACTGCAGAGACATAGAGCCTCGCAGTGCAAGCCCCTGCCTCCATTGATCTAGACCCTAGTAAGGACATGAGATCCTTTGCAAGAGGCATAAGTGAGCCTTTGGTGCCTTCAGGAATGTGCACTTCATGTTCTCTCTTAGAGACTATCATATTTTCTATTTATTGCCTTTTTCCTCAGACCTTGAAGACCTCAATCCTCTTAATTGAGTTTCCATGGTGCCACTTTTTCTTTTTTTTCTCCAACCCATTATATTTTCATGAAGAGCTTCAAGGTCATAAATCTATAAATTAGAGCTTCCTATAGATTCCACCTATACACAGTAAGGTATTGGGAGATTTTTCCTGTGTTGTAGAATTTTTCCCTTTCTAGGACCCAAACATGCTAGTCATTCCCATCTCAGCTGTCAGTAAACTCTTATTATAATACAAAACTGATGCAAAGGGAGATTTGGAAATGATACCAGATGATCTCTCTCCTCTCCCCTTCTGTGTCACCCTCTCCCATTTCCTTCCCCTCCCCTTCCTCCTCTCCCCTCCCTCTCCCTGTCTCCTTGTTTCTGTCTCTCCCATGTGTGAGTGTGTGTGTGTGTGTGTGTGCATGCGTGCATGCATGTGTGGTGCTACAGATAAATCTAAGGACTTCTACATGCTAAGCAACTGTGCTACACTGAGCTACACTCCCAGCCCTAGTGATTTCATTCTTATCATTGCCTTTAACAAGTGGTATCAGTGGGGGGGAAAGTCTTTAGGTTCCCATTGATACACCAAAGAAACAAATTCAACCTTTAATACTTTCTACAGTTCTAAAACTCTAGAAACAAGGGGCTGGTGAGATGGCTCAGTGGTCTAAAGCACCTACTTAGAACAAGCTTAGCAAAGCACAGGGACCGCGGCTCAATCCCCCAGCACCACATGCCAGCCAGCCCCACCCCCTGGTGGGCTGAGCTGGCCACACACACACACACACACACACACACACACACATAAATAAATAAATTAATTAAAAACTCTAGAAACAAGAACAGTATACAAAGGAGGCTCTATTTCACATCATCATAGTGATGCCTTTGATTTCAAACTGTAATCTTTGGGTAGCAAATTCTATTAGTAACTCTAACAGAAGGGATTTTTTTTTTTTTAATTTGGTACAGGGTCTCAATACACAGCTCGGACTTGTAGTGACCCTCCTATCTCCACCTCCCCAGCACTGGGATTATAGGCATGCACCACCACGCCCTGTTACGGTGGCTGGCAAGGCATGCCTGGGTTTCCAGGGCCAACACGGCATGCAGTACTGGGGATCAAGCTCAAGTCCTTGCACTTGCCAAGCAGGTGCTTAAACCACTGAGCTATCTCCAGCCCCCCAATAGAAGTTTGATTTTAATAAAACTGCAAGGAAGTAAATATATCAAATATGTAAGATATATATTTTTAAATATGTGGCAAAAATTCAGTTTTATGATGAGAATATCCAAAGGACAGAACTCTGTGCATCATGGCACAAGTCTCGCCTTCTCCACAATACAGTATTTTGTGGCTACTTTATTTGGCCTAAACCGGGTGTTATATTGCATTGTTTGTAATTTCTATCTAGTCTCCATTTCAACTTATATTATAGCGATCGTCTCCATTTGTATTGTAAGTACAGACTAGGTTTATGGAATCTAGGGCTTGCTTCCTATTTTTAAAATTTATTTATTTATCTATTTTGTATTTTAGGGAACGGTCTACAGGGTGTTCAGGGTCTCACTACTAGATCTGACTTGTAGCAATCAGCCTGTTTACAGCCTCCCAAGTGCTGGGATTACAGGAGTGCCACCGCACCCAGTCTCTATTGATGTCTCAGCACAACCCTGGGGCCAGGGGATTGAACCCCCGGCCCCTCTTGCAGGCACTTTAATCTGCTCAGCTATTTGGCCAGCCCTTTGCTTCCTATTTTAAATAATATTTTATCTTTATGTTTCTAGGCTTTGGAATATGCGAAGACCATCCCCAAACCGAAACAATCAAGTGTGACGGACCAAACATCAAAGGAAGGAAAAAATGCAGCCAGTGACGGGAAAGATGGAACTTTACCTGAAATCTCCCTGCTGGAGATTCTGCAGAGCAGACACGAGAGGGAAAAACAGGCTGTGGCTGCTTTCAAAGTTCTTCATATTGTCTAGACAGCACTTGGGAGATCACAAACACTCCAAGAACACAGCAGAAAAGAAACCCCAGCCAACCGTGGGCGCCACAAAGGACAGCTGGCACCGCCCAGCGCGGTGTGCAGGCCTTCCTAGAGGCCCGAGATTGTGGTGCCGTTCTTCACCTTGTAGCAAGAGAGTACTTCGAATGATTTATTTTTAAGTCAGTTAGAATTTGGGGCTGATAAATAACCAGACAATAAAGCTTCTATTTCTCACTGGATCTTTTGACTTCTAAAGCATCTCTCCCTTCCTTAGCATAACAAACACCTGGAGGTTACCCAGAAGCAAATATAAACACTTCAGAGTCTCTGAAAATGAACTCAACTGGACTTCTCAGTAAACTTGGAGCTAACATTTCAAAAACATCACTCAAATATCCAAGTTTACCAAAGGATTTGTATGTACAACTTAAAAACTTTTTAAGATATATGTAGGTGTTTCTACTAAAATAGAACAAATGCCAACATCAATCATAGCGTCAAAATTTTAGTTAGGAGTCCCCAACAAGTCCAGAAATGCCCAATTCAGACAACTCTGAGTGATAGACTTTATCAAAGCCAAGTATATAAATTTGCTAAGCATCTTGCCATCATAATAAATATATTAAAATATTGTCAAACTCAAGATTCCATATAAAATAATATTAGATAAAAGTGGAATATAGTTTCCTACTGAATGTAAATATTAACACATATATTGTCTTTTGATGTATTATAAAAATTCCCTGTCTTAAAATAATTGCTAAATTAATTTTTTACATCCTTCCCTATATTTGGTGGGCATTGCATTCTTAGGTGGACTTATCCAGAAATACATAATTTTAACATTAGGACAAATCTGTTTATAAATGGGGCATAAGGATTTGTAAATTCAAAATTCTATGTTGTATGGATTTTACATATATAATGATGTGGTATAAAAACTGTCTACCGTAACTTTCTTTTGGATTATTTCATGTAGCATATCCTCTGAATCCACTCATGGGGTAGCACATGTCAGGATTTCCTTTGTTAAGGCTGAATAGTACCCTATTGTGTATATTTTTTCACTTTTGGGGAGTACTGGGAATTGAACTCAAGGCCTTGTGCTTGCTAGGCAAGCACTCTACCACAGAGCTACATACCCACTTTCTTTTGAAACTAAAAGTAGTTTACAGTTAAAAGGTCTGGGAAGGGGCTGGTGAGATAGCTCAGCAGTCTAAAGCACCTTTTTAGGCAAGCTTAGGCAGGTACGGGGGGCCGTGGTTTGATCCTGGCACCACATGCTGCACCAGCCCTGCCCTCGGGGAGGGCTGAGCGGCCCAAAATAAGTGAATAAAGTGAAATAAAGAGTCTGGGAAACGTGGTGGTGCACACCTACAACCCCAGCCCTGGGGAGCCTGAGGCAGGAGGATCACTACACGTC